CCCCCCACGTTATAAAACTAAGACCCTGTTATAAAACTAAGACCCCCCACGTTATAAAACTAAGACCCTGTTATAAGAATCAGTCACCGTGCCTTGCTCTGCTCGCCACAAGGTAGTCTTGCCTCTGGGCCTTGTGTTCCCTAGTAACATACAGATTCTACAAAAGATAGTCTTGCTTCTGGTCCTTGTGTTCCCTTCTAATATACAGATTCTCCCCACTAACATAAAGATTCTACAAAAGGTAGTCTTGCTTCTGGTCCTTGTGTTCCCTTCTAATATACAGATTCTCCCCACTAACATAAAGATTCTACACATGGTAGTCTTGCCTCTGGCCCTTGTTTACCCTAGTAACATACACATATGGTAGTCTTGCCACTGACCCTTGTTTTCCCTAGTAACATGGTGGTTCAAGATTTCAGACCCATCTTTCTCACATAGATTGCTGAACTTATTTTAGTTAAGAATTCCTAATAGAATTAAGAATTAATAGCTGAAACTGTTCTGTTTGTCCTAGCAAACAATATCCCAATATGCATTTGAAATTCATTTTTGTCTATATGTGTTGACAGTCTGTGATGTCATCATCAATCATCACAATGGGAATTAGGTGAATTCTATCTGTGACAGTGAGATTATCTATGATGTCACATAGTAGTTTGATTTCTAAGAAATGTGGCAGAGTTCTATCTATGACAGAGATGCTTTGTGATGTCATCATGAATTATCTCGTTTCTATTGTGATGATTGATGATGTCATCAGACTACTTTGTGATGTCATCGTGAATTACCTCATTTCTATTGTGATGATTGATGATGACATCACAGTCTGTCAACAAATAGACAGAAGAAGTTGAACTACAAGTTGGAAAATTGTTTGCTAGGGCAAAACAACTCAGTTTCAGCTAATAATTCTTAATTCTATTAGGAATTCTTAACTAACAATGGTTCAGCAATCTGTGCCAGAATAATGGGTCTTAAATCTTGAACTACCATTAAACATCACTTCCAAAACAATACCAGCATAAAATGGAGTATCTCTTTTTATACTCAGCATAAAATGGGACATCACTTTTTATGCCAGCATAAAATGGGATATCACTTTTTATGCCAGCATAAAATGGGACATCACTTTTTATGCCGAGCATAAAAAGTGATATCAAAAAATTACTTTTTTAAAAATCAACAAATCCGGGTATTTGTTACAGTCCATTTTTATATAATCCGCTGTTGTATGTTACTGGGGAACACAAGGCCCAGAGGCCAGGAGGCAAGACTACCTTGTGGCGAGCAGAGCAAGGCACGGTGACTGATTCTTATAGCAGGGTCTTAGTTTTATAACGTGGGAGGTCTTAGTTTTATAACAGGGTCTTAGTTTTATAACAGGGTCTTAGTTTTATAACGTGGAGGGTCTTATTTTTATAACAGGGTCTTAGTTTTATAACGTGGGGGGTCTTAGTTTTATAACGTGGGGGGTCTTAGTTTTATAACAGGGTCTTAGTTTTATAACGTGGGGGGTCTTAGTTTTATAACAGGGTCTTAGTTTTATAACGTGGGGGGTCTTAGTTTTATAACAGGGTCTTAGTTTTATAACGTGGGGGGTCTTAGTTTTATAACAGGGTCTTAGTTTTATAACGTGGGGGTCTTAGTTTTATAACAGGGTCTTAGTTTTATAACGTGGGGGGTCTTAGTTTTATAACAGGGTCTTAGTTTTATAACGTGGGGGGTCTTAGTTTTATAACAGGGTCTTAGTTTTATAACGTGGGGGGTCTTAGTTTTATAACAGGGTCTTAGTTTTATAACGTGGGGGGTCTTAGTTTTATAACAGGGTCTTAGTTTTATAACGTGGGGGGTCTTAGTTTTATAACAGGGTCTTAGTTTTATAATGTGGGGGGTCTTAGTTTTATAACAGGGTCTTAGTTTTATTACGTGGGGGGTCTTAGTTTTATAACAGGGTCTTAGTTTTATTACGTGGGGGGTCTTAGTTTTATAACAGGGTCTTAGTTTTATAACGTGGGGGGTCTTAGTTTTATAACAGGGTCTTAGTTTTATAATGTGGGGGGTCTTAGTTTTATAACAGGGTCTTAGTTTTATAACGTGGGGGGTCTTAGTTTTATAACAGGGTCTTAGTTTTATTACATGGGGGGTCTTAGTTTTGTAGGTCTTAGGTCTTAGGTCTTTGTTTTGTAGACACCCTAATATAATATGCCTATCAATATAATATGTAATTATTTAAGTATCATCTCAATGCTTTAATTTTAATAGAATTATTTTAATATTTTACTAACTGTATAATATGTAGTTTGCATTACTGTTGATAAATAATTCAAACATGACCGTGCTCTATTCGAATTTCTCAACCAATCAGAATGCAGCATAGCCAATATAGAACGTTCTCTAATTCTCCATAGATGCACAACCATGCTCTATTCAATCTGCAATTTGCATTGTTTTGAGTGACGTCACATCTCAGCTGCACATCTGGGGCTCTGTCCGGGGATAGCTGTTCTTTTTTACTCCCTCCGTAACTACTGTAACTATTTAACTATGGCTGACTTCCTTGTTTTGTATAAAATCTAAAACGGGGAGTAAAATAGAACAGCCCAAACAAATTCTAAAATTTTTCCGGCCGACTTCAGAATCTTGACAGCATGCGTATTCTTCCTTCATTCTTCCTGCTTTGTACAACATTCTGTCCAACTCGTGCTGAATTTCACCATATTGAATGGCCTATCATTATTTATTCCTTAAATAAATGATTGCACTGTTCAGTAAAGAAATATACCAATTGTATTATTTAAACTGACTATACACTATAGAAATGATTTTTATTGAAAAATCAAATCAGTACCAAAATTATGGTTACCCTGTAGTTGTGAAAGGCACATTAAAATGAATATCACCCCCTTCAATCTATTTTTACAGATTTTTATGATTATTTCAGATTTTTCTTTAGTTTGCGTAACCAGGACGGTGAATTTTCTTCATTTTTCATCAAACATTTTGTCTTACCAATATTTATTATATCTGTCAATTTTATCAAAATCGCGCCGCTACGTTTGAAAATAATTCAAATTATGTAGTTTTTCCCATTGAGCTCCATTATAAAAATGGAATTTTCAAACTTAATATTTTAATATTCTACGTGGTGAAAAGTTGCATATTGAGTAGTTAGTTGATGTTATGGTGTTAAAAATTCAAAACAAAAAGGAATAAAGAAAAAATGCCATAGAGAATTCTCAATAGAGTCTCTTTAAGGGTTCAGTGAATTTCATTTTGAATCTGCGTACTGTTTAAGGATTCAGTGAATCTCATTTTGAATCTGCGTACTGTTTAAGGGTTCAGTGAATCTCATTTTGAATCTGTGTACTGTTTAAGGGTTCAGTGAATCTCATTTTGAATCTGTGAATACTCTGATTACCTTGAAATATGTCTGCTCTTCCTCATTCATCATATTTATATTCAGCATGAATACATGGAAGGAAAGAATTCACCTGAAAATAAACAAAATTCTAAATTACACTATTACCACCCTTAGCATATGGAGCTTACATAATGGACTGGTATGCTGCCAAGAGCTGGACCGGTGTGGTGTAATGGTTATGTTCAAATTTATATCACCTGTTAGGTCCCCATGTCACATATATTTAAAATAATATCTATGATAGACAACATACCGATCATTTTCTAAATTATGTCGTTTTTTTTTTGTCGATACTTGGCACTTATCACTTATGACAGTAGAAAATTGGTATCCACAAGGTGTAATGATTTCAAACTGATGTATGAAGTCATATTCTATAACACGGGGCCTTTTAAATTAACTCAAATTCTTTAATATGGAGCTTTTTAACTGACTTTTTAAGTATATCTGTTGTAACTTTGTGCATCCCAAATTTTAATACATGGTGTGCCACATAATAATGACAGATAATCTCTCTCAGTATATTTACCAAAATGTTTTCTTATCTAGTATTGACCATTGTCCTCTAAAGTGACAGAAGGGAGAATTTCAATAATACACTAGTATTACATTTTCTGTCATTCTAGAGAGTGATAATAATATCAGATTTACATACTTTGATTGTCTGTGGCATTTCTAATGCTGGATGAATTTTTTTCAAGGTCTTTTCACAAATATTACAAATCTTCAATTTTCTCAAAAATGTTTCTAATGTTTTTGTTGTCAGCAAATCTTTTTTCTCATTAAAATAGACATAGGCCTACTGCTTTGTTGCCCCCTATATGGAGCATGTTACACTATATACGATACTGCCTTGCAAAGTCACTGTTTCATGAGATATGGCTAATACATGCAATCCAGCCCTTTATACCATTTTAAAACAAGTGAAGATGAAAAAAAACTGTAACATCAAGCAAAACGGCTAGAGGTCTTATCACTTTGGAATGACCAGGAATGACAATGTATGTACATTTATGTAAGGGATGAGTGAGATAATTTTTATCAATTGAATTAAACCCAAAGATAAGCTTGTCAGATCTTTCAGAAGGTTGAGACAAATAATGACAGGTAATGCAGATATCAGGGTTCTGAAGTAAGTTGGGAGTTAAGGTAGAATGCATAAATTATAAACGAATCAATATAGCCTAAGTTAACGACATAAGATTCTAGCAAAAGATGAATAAATAGAGAATCAATAGGAAATAAATAAACGTAAGACTGCAAGATGAACCTCTTGCAACTTGTTGATAATTTGAAAAAGATTTAGGTCAATTTTTGAAGCAAATTCCACTCAAAACATGGACAAAATTTGTTCAGATGGCAAAAGGCTAATTAATACATGTACACTATATGTATTTTTACCAAATTTCAGGCAAACATAATAAAGGATAGTGTCAAGAACAACTAAACCAAAACCATGGGATGTACATCTGTGTTCTGCATGTTTATATTAGTATTACATGCTGATTACACAATCTCGTTAATGGCTGAAAATCAAATACAGTGCCTTCCCCTGGGGCATGATGCTGAAGGGGGGGGGGGGGGGTTGAGCACCTGAGAGGGTGGAGCTGCCAGTGTTCACATACAACCTGGGGCCCAAGCAAATATTTCTGGAGAGACCTCAAGGACAGGAAGCATGAGACCAAAAGAGATGAAGATATTACAGGGTTTAAAATGCATTGTGAGAAATGGAACAGAACTTCGGAACTTGAGATTTTTTCTCAATTTGATCAATCAATACTCTATCAGATAATACACTTGGATTTAAGTGATAATTCAATTGATGAAATTGCTCCAGGATATTTTCAGAAGGTTCCTAATCTGCGATATTTAGATTTGAGTGGAAACAATCTTGAAACATTGGTTTCAGATGTTTTTAAAGGCCTCAATCATCTTGAACAATTACACTTGGAGCGAACAAATTTGGAAATCCAAACATCACTACCACCAGGATTATTCCAACATACACCGAGCCTTAAATATCTGAATTTAAAATGCCCGAAGACCCAAAATTGGAACAATCTAATTAGGGTCCCCCTAACAACAAAAGAAAGCAATTCTGACGTAAAATTCAAAGTTAAATCCAACCAAAAGAATAGTGAGTCAACTCCATATTTGGAACCAACATTCCCAGATGATGTTTTCATTGATTTAAAGAACATTGAATACTTAGGACTAAGCCTACTCAATGTAGGAGAACTTAGTTTTGGGAACGCATTTACCGATATGAAATTCCTGACATTTCTTGACTTCTACCAAGGTGGGGAAAGTGAATCAAAGTGTGGAGATTACTTGCCAATTAATGGGTTTACATACATGTAAGATGTCATAATATTGATACATGCATTAGTTCTTCTATCAGTAATTTCTTCCCAACACACCATCAATATGTATGCAGAACTGCAAAAGGGAAAATACAAAAATGTTACAAAACAAAGAAATTGAATCATCTGAGACAAGTGGAACACTTCAAAATACCATTACCCATTAATTTAAGTTTAAAACCTTTCTATATCTCCTAAGTTAACACTTTTTGAAGTACTAGTACCAAGTTTTTCATATATATACACATTTTACTGTGTATAGAATGTATATTACTATTACTTTTTTCTAGGTATGATCTGACTGGCTCACAATTTGGCAGAAGTGACACTTCAGGTTTTCATCATAATGCAGCCTCTGAAGACATCAGTCACCACACACTACATACCCAAATAAATAAACCTCCAACAGTTCCAAATCAAAACAGTGTTAACTACAACAATACAGATGCCAATAATGCACACAATGCTAGTGCTTATAAATATGTGCACCCTGATAATTCCCACAACCAACTAGAAAGCTTTAACACAGATGGTCTTCATTTGAGAAATGACACCTTCCTACCATTTAAAGATGGTCAACTGAAGAAGTTGAACCTTAAACATGCTAAGATAAGAGGTGTGGATGCATGTGTTTGGTGCCCACTGAAGTCCCTAGAAATTCTTGATATTAGTTGCAATGAGTTCCCAAGTAGCTTCGCCAAATGGACTGATTCTTTCTATGGCCTTCAAGGTAACAGCATACAGACAATTATGATGGATAACATAGTTGATCCTGATAATATTGAGAAATGGTCATTTGATGAAGATAAATTCCGTTTCTTGAAGAACACCCGGATTCACCAGATTTCAATGGCTGGAAATGCAATAAATGAAATATCCCCAATACTTGGGAGTGTATTTCCCTACTTGGAATATCTATCTCTGAAAGCTAATTTTATATGGAATGTATATGGAGAAACACGGGACTTGGTTCTACTTGATCTCTTTACCAGTAATCTGAAGGTGTTGGATTTGAGCTACATGATGAATGCTGGTGAGTTCTTTATGGTTTAACATTGCAACAATATTTGTACATTCTTTCCCCTTGATAGGCTTGCTTTGGACATACATGTATGTATTCTTGATCACCATTGTTAGCTGGATTATAGGGGTTTAAAGGTCAATGCCTTGAAATGTCAATAACAAGCTCTCGGCACAAATTTAACATTGCTTGTAATATTTTGTAACTGGTACAATCCTCAATTGTTGTTTTACTTAAATGGGGTGCACTTTGACTAAATATAATGAAACCAATAGTGACTGCCACATAAAAAATAGTGCAAAATGATTAGGCCATAATAAGTAGATTTTTTGTTTTACATTCCCTTGCTTGATTAATTAAGGCCGTTAGAGTAAATCGGCAAACATCTAAGTATGGAGTCAAATAAAAATCCACAGGTATATCTGAAAGTACCATAGCAAATTGTTTGATCTTAATAAAAATTGAAGGCATAATTTAATAGCTTTATGACTTCAATCACTGTTAACTAGAAAGTTATTCATTCATTATAAATTTGATTAAATACTCAGTGCAGTGTGCACTTTGTGTGTGGAGTTTGCTATAAGAAAGGGACCAGACCATGAGCCATAGTCAAATTAAAGGCAACTTTAAATACTTTAAAATGTTCGGCATTGTAAGATTGTATGTCCTATATGATTACCTCCAATATATATATATATATAAGAAAGAAAAATAAGAAAAGAAAAATAAGAAAAATATTGCAAAATATTGGATTATATATACATGTATATAGCAATGCTAACCTTGATAATTCAGGCATTTTGCATTTTGCAGTTCTTCTCTCTGTGGTCATCTTTTAAATATACTGTATATATTACGTATTATGATATTTGTGTTTTAGTTTGAATTTGTTTTCCTCATAGCCTTGATTTGGATTTTGTCAGGACAAAAAATTGTCTCTTTCTAATTGCCCTATCACTATTTCTGCCAATCATTATTTGTGCACAAAGTTTCAATTTTATACTATTGACTGGAAATGCATTTTGTGTCATTCGTTTTGCTATTGACTGCTCAATAAGAATCACTAGTAAATACTTCTGAGATACATGTACTAATAGAACAATAAATCATATTTCTAGGTGGCAACACTGTAAAATGCTGGGTTCCTTCTGAATTGTGGTTGAAGAACTTCATTGAAGATACAGACAATCCAAGACCAAGATGTGAATCTGAAGGAGCCCTAGAAGAGTACTTGAGGTACAAAGCTGAACACCCAGAACAAAATGTTGCTGCCTTTCCACTTCCCTTTAATATAGAGGAAATATATGGCAACAACTTGCCATTTTACTCAACCACTGGCCAGGCAATATCTTACACACCAATTTTCATCTTAAACAATAACCATCTTCGTAGGATAAGTGCTGAAGGGGTGTCACTACAACAGCTTCGTCATGATTTTCTTGGTGCAAAATGTCTTGAATATATTAATGTACGTGATAACAAGATAAGCTTCATTAAACCCGATATTTTAAGAAATCAACCATATCTGAGGACCATCCTTCTTGGAGACAACCAATTAGGACAACAATTAAGCAAAGGAGGTAATGATAGTACATTATTTGAGAATGTTACGTCACTTCAGGTAATAGACATATCCTCCAATAGCATCCCATCACTGAATAAGTCCACCTTTAGAGGGTTACATAACCTAAGAGTCCTCAACATCAGTAGAAATTATCAGTTTGGAAAATCTGGTCTAGATTTAGATGTCCAAGATCTGAGAAAATTGGTCTACTTTGACCTTTCCTATACATCTACCACAAGTTTTGATATGGTAACAAGGAACTTTTTTGATGATGTGAACAAGCATGAACAACTCAGCATTGATTTGACAGGGAATGGCTTTCCATGTGGATGTCAGAATCAAGAAATGATAAACTGGATGCAGAACTCATCAATTCACTTCCCCAACAAGCAAACATACATGTGTGACAATAACAACACCTACATCATGGAGGTGAATATTTCAAAGCTAGCCACTGACTGTTTCCAAGCACCAATTGAAGTCAAACATAATGCTCTAGTTCAGACTATTCTCCTCTCACTTGGATCAGTTCTGTTCTTGGTGATATTAGGTGCTGTAGTTTATAGGTATCGTTGGAAACTGCGATACCACTTCTATCTTGCGAAAGGTTCCTTACGTGATCATGGTGATCCAAAGGTTCAAGATGGATTCAAATATGATGCCTTTGTTGCATATAACCATTCAGAAGATTATCATTGGATTATTGATGAACTCATACCTGAGATAGAAACCAAACACAATCTGAGCCTTCTGATTGGTCAACGTGACTTCACTGCCGGAAATCTTATCATAGACAACATAGTTGATGCAATCGAAAACTCTCGTAAAACAATCTTGGTTTTGACGCCTAGTTTTGCCGATAGTACCTGGTGTAATTGGGAAATGAAATTCGCACTGAGTAAGGGGGAGGGTTATGTTATTCCAATAATGCAGAGACATATCCCGCAGGAAGTGATGCCAAAGACACTTATGAGAATTATTTCCACTATGACCTATCTTGAATGGAGTGATGATGAAGATGCCAAACCATTATTTTGGAAAAAACTCCTTGACAAAATAGCCGTGAGAAAATAACATGAAAATCTATAACTAAGCTAGAGATATAGCAACTTCCAAGCTAGGAAATCCCAACGAACAAGACATACGTTTCAAATCTTTCATCATTTTGAAAATGTCAAGATAGAAAGAATTACTAGGAAGTAAATTCACCTTTCCACAAAGTAAAGAAAATCCATAATTTCCGGCGCGATGATTGGTTGTATGCAAATGAGTCAAATCAATAACGTCAATGATGGAAAGTTTTGAAGAATTAGTACAGCCAGCATAGGAATATTTTGAATTGACTGCAACAAAAAGGATTCTCTTTGCTCAATGCACTAATTATTTTTAATCAAATATAAAATATGGACGGGGCACTTTCATTCCGAATCTCATGTAATTTAATTTAATCATTTTTTGACAGAACTATTGTTTACGTATTAAGACTTCTTAGGTCAGCCTCACATACCCGTGCTCACATGTCTCATGCGATTGTAAACAAAAAATGTAAATTGTGAAGTTACAAACAACTCGGTTTAATTATCTAATAGTGGTCATACAATATCCTGTTTAATGGTTATTATGTCGTAGTAAAAAGTTTCATCAAAAATTCACCACGAGTGACATTCGCGCAAAGCGTTACCTTTTGGTATTTCGCCATCAGCAAGTCAATAACGATCAGCAATGTCAACACATCATCAATAAACATTATATGATATACGCTCTTTCCCTGAAATCTTCCCAGTGATCATTATTCAAAACCGATCATCACAACTTATTTATCCTATGAAAAATGAGGTTGCACAAGTGAAGTTTCAGGACACCCTTCATATCCAGGTTTGTTTTCTATGAAGCGTTCTCATTCTCCTTATTTTCGAGAAATTCAGCATCATTTTGGTTAAGAAAAATTTTACGGTCTGCTGGATCTATTTTGACAGTTTTGCTTTGGCAAGATATAATTTTAACAAATTGACTGTTTCTACACTGAATAAAAAAAACATTTTCCCGGGAAAATTTGGATCGGGAGATACGCAGTGGGAAATATGTGACATATACATTGAAACATATATACATGTATATGGTACGCTCCTTAAAGATATCAATTCTATATTCCGATATTTTCAAGTATAATATTTTCAAGATAAGATCTGATATGACTTGCAGAAATAAATAGGAAGTAATCGTTTAGTTCATTGAATTATGGGAGTAGTGAAGTCAATGATTTAATGAATAAGAGCAAATGTTTTTAATTTGAACATGTCATTCATCAAATTAAACTTAACTTAAATAGTTTGTCTATCTCTATATTTTTATGCATGAGAGACATGTTATAATGTTGGTGAACTAATGATTATGATAATTTCACCTGTTCACATCCAGTTCCTATCATGATTGAAAACTGACCGGGAGTAATTCTCTTCAAATTATTTACTCATTATGAACAGAAATTTAATATTTAAATCGCTTAGAAGGCGTAAATAAATGTCAATTTGACGTTCAATAAAAATCCGTCAATAATTTACTGTTTACTTGCACATTTGAAGAGGTAAAACTTACAGCAATCAACCGAGGATTTACATGTAAACTCAATTGCATTTGTTTTTCTCTCATTGACGTCACAGATTTTTAAGAGGCTCATTATAATAGTCATGAGCTGACTTTGTGGCCCGCCGCTTTGTGGAAAGGTGAATAGTGAGTCTTTTTGCAAAGATGGACAGGTTTTCAATATCCCTACTAAACTTTCTTGGGATAATAAGTGTATGTGATATATATTGAGAGTATCCTACCTAGAGGATCAGGATACATTGGAACAGATATCAAATCCTATATCAGAGTGACTCAAGATTTCTGACCCCTTTTTAACCTAAAAGACCTTCTAGACATTCTTCTAAACATTATTCTTATATGCACTTATTTGCCGGTATATTAACAAGCGAATTGATGCAATTCTTTTACACAAAAAGTGATATTGCGACATGGTGTCCATTTCAAATCTTTGTGACTTATTTTGAATTATAGACATTATATAATAAGGTACCTGTACTATTTCATGCAAATTGATGAATATTATTAGATTTATATCCAAAAAGGATCAAAAACAATTTTCTGACAATAAAAGCAGTAGCAATTTTAATATATTACAAGATATTTTACCAAAACTTCTAGACATTATTGTTCACCTGTACACCAACATCTGGGATTCACAAAAAAGACAAACCCCATGACTTGTCTTGTTCATATGCCTGTATAGTTTCAAGCAATATATACGATATACAGTAATACTGTAATAGCCTATTTAATGTTTAATCAATGACTCAAGTTGCACAGTTCCATGGCCATCTGTAGTACCAAGTTCCATGACTGTCACAAGCCTATATCATCTCACATAGTTTTTATTTCATTAAAAAAACATTTTACATAAACATTTATATATATGTAGTAAAGTATTCATTACAAGTTACAATTGTCTTAATGATTTATTCTTTACATAAGTGTAATCATACTGCTCTGTTTTATTTATTGATTATATCCAAATAAACTTATATGTTTGTATACGCATATGTATATATTATATCATTTGTTGTATTGCATGTGTTGGATGTTGTATAAGATCCTCTTATATTCTGTAAAAAGTCACATTCTCTTCCCAACATTAGCCTGGTACATTTTGGTGTCTTACCAAGGCAAGCAAGACAGATGATGAGCTGCAAAAATGTGGGCAACATGTCCAGTATGCCAGTACCCCAAAAGACATGAACAAGTTCACGGATAATCCTTCCTTTGACTCAATTTGTCATAACATGATGATATGAATTGTTTGCAACATGTGTTATCAGTCCACATCATGCTTTTCGACACAATGAAATGGTACCAGGTAAATATATTAACATTCTTTTATGATGGGGATTCATGCCTTCAGATGCAATGAAACAGTTAAGTTTAAGGACATTTTTGGCAGCAAGGTTGAGTATTCACAGGACTCATTGGGAGTTAAAGGATGACAATATAACATGTCTTTGAACACATATTCTTCTATTCATGCCCCACTACTGAACTTAACTTTGAACATTCTTGACTTCTACTCATGCTCCATATGCCATGGACTTCAAATATAATATAGTAATAATATACGTCCATGGGATATGTTAGCTTGACTGGCTGACAATCAAACTACTGCTTGTGAATTATTCTTTGGATTTGAAAAAGAAGAAAACCTAGACCTAAAGTTGATATACGTACATGCATATCCTTAATGCAGTCCCAACAAACAATTTATAAATTTAGGCTAGACCTGTAATCAATTTTAGATTCAAAGAATGTCGTTAGATTTGAAATGCCATGTAGGTTTTTGAGTTTTTTTTAACACACGTGAACATTACTGTGTTGCAAGTCACTGTACCTGGAGCATTGGAGGAAATGCAATCATATAGAGCATCAAGAGAAACAGATGAAACAATCCACCTTCTTTATGGCCCAAAATAACATTAAATTTATAACCCTTATTTATGTAAAATACTTTGTAATTGTATTTACAACGGATGTTGGATAAATTTGCATCAGAGTAACCCAGTTTAATTTATTTTGCAAAGCACAGCAAAAATAAACGAAGAAAGACCAGTCACCAGTCCAATCAAACAAAAAACAATTCTAGTAGTTCCGTCCCCCAACAATATAAGCCAACGACTCCCCCACCTGGAACGAGCCCTATTCCCGAAAGTGACCCGATGGGCAGTCCACAAGAGGATGCTAATCCCCAAAATCACCCTAACCCCCAACCAGATGAGCCAATGACTCCCCCTCCTGGAACGAGCCCTATTCCCAAAAGTGACCCGATGGCCAGTCCACAAGAGGATGCTAATCCCCCAAAATCACCCTAACCCCCAACCAGATGAGCCAATGACTCCCCCTCCTGGATCGAGCCCTATCCACGAAAGTGACCCGATGTGCAGTCCACAAGAGGATGCTAATCCCAAAAATAACTCTAACCCCCAACCAGATGAGTTAATGACTCCCCCTCCTGGAACGAGCCCTATCCCCACAAGTGACCCGATGGGCAGTCCACAAGAGGATGCTAATCCCCAAAATAACTCTAACCCCCAACCAGATGAGTTAATGACTCCCCCTCCTGGAACGAGCCCTATCCCCACAAGTGACCCGATGGGCAGTCCACAAGAGGATGCTAATCATAGCCTAAAAATTAAGGCCTATAATCTTGATTTGACATCGTTAACATTTTTTATATCCAGATATTAAATTGCCTATCATGGGTGATGGGAATTGCCTTTTTCGGGCAATTGCCCATGGGCTGTTCCGTCTAAGGAGTAGCCCCTCCAGACGATTCAATCAAACAGAGGAAAAACAACAGGCTGTTTTTCTCTGCCATGCGATATGCGAACATTTTAAAGAACACAGGGCAATATATCTGAACCTCCAAGAAGAATTCAGCAACATGCTACACAATGAACGGTATAAGGGTTTATTGGCCGAAATGAAGGAGATGGAGAGGAATGGAGTGGAGGGCAGAGTTCCAGATAGGAGTAAGCTTTATAAATTATAATAATACAATAATAAAAGCTGTGATTTGAAAATACCTCCCAATGAAAGAGACTGGTTGATCACTCAAATCAATTCATCAAAATTACAAAATGTTCATAGAAGAGGGGGGGGGGAATAAGAAGGTGGCTGCCAAGTTCAATTATAATGTAATAAATGAGCCACTGTGTCAAAAAGCACCATGACCTCCTCGAGGCTGATTTAAATAAAATTGATGTGGACATTGCAAAAGAAAAGTTGAAATCTAATAAAACAATCGGAAATATAAAATTTGATGAATATGTGTAAAAACTGAAGAACCTGAATGCCAACACTACATATCTCGCTAAACTAGGATTTTTGAACTCTGAGATTTCTGAGTCTACTGATGCAAAAACTAAGCAACAAGTCATTAAATCAAAGAATGTATTGGTACGCAAGCAAGCCAAGAAAAGGAATAAAAAACAGCCAGACTTAAAAAACAAATAGGGTCCATTGGTTGAAAATTTAAATGAGGTAATTCTTAAAAAGGAAGTCATCATACAACAAGACTATCACAGTAAGTCCTACAC